CGTAAATTAAGCACATTAACTTCCCCTGCTTTTTTTTTTTTTTTTTTCTTTTTGTAGTCCTGGAGCTCAATCTCAGGGCCTTCACCTTGAGCCACTCCACCAGTCCTGTTTTTGTGAAGGGTTTTTTTCTTTTTTTTTTAAATTGTTTTATTATTCATATGTGCATATAAGGCTTGGGTCATTTCTCCCCCCTGCCCCCACCCCCTCCCAACGGCTTTTTTCAAGATAGGGTCTCGTGCAACTATTTGCGCAGGCTGGCTTCGAACCTCGATCCTCCTGATCTCTGCCTTCTGAATAGCTAGGATTACAAGCTACAAGGGTGAGCCACCAGCACCCAGCTATTTACTTTTTTTTTTTTTTTCCAACAAGCTTGGTCAAACCACATGTAATAAATCCACAAACACGATGGGTTTACTATAAGTACTTAAAGATTGATGAGATTACTCAGGAAAGGACAGCAGAAGAATGGTGAGTTTGAGGCCAGCCTGGGCTACATAGCAAGACTGTGTCAAAAAGAAGGAAGGAAAGAAAAAAAAGAGACTGATGAGACCAACTTGAAAGGACTTAGAAGGGTCCCACTGGCCAAATTTGGGACAATCTGAGCATCAAGAGGAAGAATGAGCAGGGCGCCAGTGGCTCACACCTATAATCCTAACAGGAGGCAGGGGTCAGGAGGATTGAAACCAGCCAGGGCAAATAGTTCTACAGACCCTATCTTGAAAAAAACCCATCACAAAAAAGGGGTTGGTGTTGTGGCTCAAGGTGTAGGCCCCGAGTTCAAACCCCAGTACCAGAAAAAAAAAAAAGGAGGAAGAATGATATAATGAGGGCAATGGATTCCATCTCATTTAATAAAAAAGAATGTTGAAAAAAATGTTCAGACTGTGATGAAGAGAGAAAGGCAGGAAGGAATGAGCAAGCTCTTCTTTATAGAAGAATGCCAGCTAATAAATGCAGAGGAATGCTCAAATTAGTCATCATTTTGCCACCCCCAGTGTAACAACAAATGGAGGCTTAAGCTATTAGGTAAAATGCCGTTGGAAGCAAGTAGCCAAAAGGCCTCAGTACATTTCCCACAGCAAACCTACAAAGGGCAGAGATCTGCAAATGTCAACTTACCCAAGAAATCAAGTCTAGTATCACCAATAAAGAGAGAAATGAGCATTGCAGGTCCGCCAACGTGACATGGTGGGAGGTCCACAACATTCCTTATGTAGTGATCTTTTTCAGAAATGTTTAACCTGCATCTAATCATAGAGAAACAATGGAAAAATCCCAAAATGTGGGGCATTCTACATGAAAGTTGGCCTGGACACTTCAAAATAATAAATGTCACAAAAAACAAATCAGGAACAAAAGAAGGGGGGGTAGTTGAAGATTAAAATTGACTAAAGAGAGTGGGGCATAGTGGCTCATGTCTGTAATCCCAGACACAAGGTAAGCATGGGTAGGAGGACTGCAATAGTGGCCAGCCTAGGGAAAAAGTAGAAGACCCTATTGGAAAAGCAAAAAGGGCTTGAGGGTGGGGGCTGGCTCAAGTGGTAGAATGACTGCTCAAGGACATGAGTTCAAATCTGCCTACTATAAAAAAATAGATAAGAAATTTAATAAGCTGGGTGCTAGTGGTTCACACCTATAATCCTAGCTACTCAGGAGGCAGAGATCAGTAGGATCCTGGTCCAAAGCCAGCCTGGGAAAATAGTTCTAGACACCCTATCTTGCACAAAAAAAGGGAGCAGCTCAAGTGGTAGACTGCATAGTGTTAGGCCCTGAGTTCAAACCCCAGTACTGCCAAAAAAAAAAAAATCAACTAATGTAGTGAACTTTGAATCTGGGATTGGGAAAAAAAAGAAACTACAAAAAACTTTGGGGAAAATGGGATTCTATAATGAACAATAATATTAAAAACTATTAGATTTCCTAAGTGGGAATTCCTTATTCTAAAGAAATATGCCTGCCCCCCCAACCCCCCCAAAAAAAAAGGAAGAAAGAAGGAAAGGAAAAAATACGGCAAAGTGTTTAAAAGTGATGAATCTACATGTAGGGTATTCAGGTTTCCACCATACTCTCTGAACTTTAATGCAGGTTTGAAATTCTCAAAAAAAAAGGGGGGGGGGAAGAAAATAAAGGTTATATAGCAAAAATGGGGAAGTTATATCATACAGTGTTAAGAAAAAAATGAGGACAGAAAATTGTCGTGTGCATGCCATCAACTACAACTACATAAAACTAAGGGTAAGAGAAGTGACTTTTAGTCAACATTTGTTAAGCTGATGCCATGTGACAGGATGGGTATGACGGGATAGGAACAACCCTGCCTCTACCAAAATCCTAATTCCATGGTGAAATCTTAACATGCAAGAATTTGGATCCTTGGAGCCTTGTGATGCTCTCACCTCTGAGTACTCTGGCTCCCATAGGTACTCAACACTACACTCTTATAGGGGTGGGTGGGAGGTGATTATATTAATACATACCTTAAAACAAGAGTAAGTAGGCGATGCACACAAGGTATTATCATTTTTATCATTTAGACCCTCCCTACCTTTATGACATCCTCCTTGTTTTCTGAATAAGTTTATTCTTATTCTTCTCCACCATGAATAATATGTCTCTTCCTTATGGCACACTGGGTCCACCTCCATGCCTTTGCTCAGCTCATGCTGACCTCCTGACTTACAATGACTCTTCACCCCTTTGCTTCATCGGTCCAAGTCCTACCCAGTTCCTGGTCTACCTCCTGCATGAAGCCTGCAGACTTGATTGACCCCATTCCTCTCAGTGGTCTAACTCTGTACTATTTCTTTAATATGTGACACCTTTCATTATAAGCATTCTACAACTTGTTTTGGCTGTACTGGGGTTTGAACTCAGGGTAATTGCTGGTGTGCTACCACTTCAGCCACTCCCCCAGCCCTTATTTTTCAGGTAGGGTCTCATACTTTTTACCCAGGTCAGGCCTCAGATCTCAGTACTCCAGATCTCTGCTTCCTGAGTAGCTATGATGACAGGTGTACACCAACACATCCTGCCCAGCATTTTCCAGTTTTAGAAGCTAGTTCATAACCAACATCCCCAGTAATCATCACACAATGACAGCCATTACTCTTTCTGAAAGGGATCAGTGGCACTTAAGTACCTTAGCTAGAGACATAGCTGTTGACTCCTGGTCCACTAGTGACCTTTTCATCCCTTCACATCTGGCAATTGTGGAGACCCTCATATATGGATTAACAATACCATTCTTTGAGTATGAGACATCTCTCTGTTCAGTTTTGCATCCTTCAGTATTTTAAGCTGCATATTCAAGAATGTGCATCTGTTATTTTCTCTATTATACTTCATGAAGCTAGGCACAAAATCATAGTCCTGCTCCTCAGTGTGGTGTTAGGGGCCAGCAACGAGTGTATCACCCAGGCGTCTCAGAAGTATGCATTCTGGGACTGCACCCAAGCTAGAGCTACAGAAATCATACCCTGCAACTTAACAAGATGCGCAGGAGATTCATGCTCACATTACAGTTTAAGAAGCACTAGAATTTACACATAGCAGAAATTTAACAAATATTTTGAGAACTGAGGCCCTTTGAATCCTAGGAGATTTGCTACTTCAAAAGGCAAATATGGCTGCAATCACAGTACTCAGGAGGCTGTGAGAGTAGAAATGAGGGTTTGAAGCCAGCCTGGCTTCAGGAGAGACCTGTCTCAAAACAAACAAACAAACAAACAAACAAACAAAAAACCCAGGATGCTGGTGGCTCATGTCTGTAATCCTAGGAGGCTGAGATGGGAAGGATGGTGGTTCTAGGCCAGCCCAGGTAAATAGTTCTTGAGACCCCCATCTCCAAAATGGACTGGAGGCATGGCTCAAGTAGTAGAGTGCTTGCTTTGCAAGCATGAAGCCCTGAGTTTGAACCCCAGTTGCCACCCCACTGCCCTCCTCAAAAAAAAAAAACAAAAAAAACCCAAAAAGAAGATATGGGCCCAAGAGTGAGAAAGCACTGAGATAGTGCACATATCAAGTTATGGTGAAGTGAAATAGAGTCAAAAGCAAATGCTGGCCTTGACTTCGGGGTTACAACACTTCTGGCGAGAAATTGGCTTTATTCTAAGACAAAAATGCCTAGCACTTTAGCATCAGAGCCTTGGGAGGATAAGGGGTTTGTGATAGACAACAGTGGAACTGTTTCTAGACTTGATTTATCGACTTGTCTGTTTCCATTCTGTCACTAATGTGATTGACAACGAAACCCGGGATGTGGCTTGCAGGGATTTCTCAGAGTGTGCTTGCTGCTGTCAGGGCTGGGGGGCCTGCTAGGAGCAGTTGCGCGGTGGGTATGGGATGATTGTGCGAGGGTTGCTTGCTTGCATCTGAAGAGAGTGTATGTGGAAACGACCCGGGAGAAGTGTCTCTAGAGAGTTAATTATATGTGATGTGAGAAATGTTTACCTGGGTTGGAAAGCAACGTAGGTTTGGGTATGTTTGTTCCAAGCAATGGGATTGGAGGGGGTAGGTGGTGCTCCCAAGGCGGGGACAGTTATAGACCTACACTAGGCAACAGCCCCTTCTCACGCCCTCCCTCGATTTTCCTTCAGTAATGTTGTTCCCGGTTGCAAGGCCTTGGGGAAAGGATGAAGAGGGGCGGTAGGCGCCCGAGGGTCTGGGGACTCCCCTCTCCCAATCTCGCACAAGCTAGTGAAGGGGAAACAGATGGGCACGAATGCGTGTCCCATAGGAGCGCGCGTGGTGACACGTGGAGGATTCACCCTCAGCCAGGAGTCGCACCCCGAGCCCCGCGGTCTCCCAGCTCACTTGTGGCGCATCCCCAGGATCTGGGCGCTCTCCTTCTTCCGAGGGGAAGGAGGTCGACCCCGTTAGACCGCGGAGCCCCGCCCCTCCCTTGTTACCGACGAGCCCCGCCCTCTCCCGCCGCCCCGCGCAGCTCCGCCCCCTCCCCCAGCCGGGCGCCCGCGCTGCCCTCGCTCAGTCTGGCTGGCCCCATGTTACTGAGCGGAGCTCCTCCGGCGGGCTCCGGCCCCGGGCCGCGGGCGCAAGGGAGCGCTGGAGGCGGCCCGGGGGGCTCCCGCCGGGGTGCGGGGAGTGCGGGAACCGGCCCAGGAGGGGGCGGCAGCGGCGGCGTAGCCAAGTGGCTCCGGGAGCATCTAGGCTTCCGCGGGGGAGGCGGTGGCGGAGGGGGGGGCAAGCCGGCGCCCCCAGAGCCGGACTACCGCCCCCCCACACCCTGCCCGGCCGCGCCCCCTGCGCCGCCCCCGGACATCCTGGCCGCCTACCGGTTGCAGCGGGAGCGCGACTTTGAAGACCCCTACTCTGGGGGGTCGTCCGGCTCCACCGCCCTAGCCACCCCCGCAGCTCCCGGCCCCACTCCGCCCCCGCGCCACGGCTCGCCCCCACACCGCCTTATTCGGGTTGAGACCCCTGGGCCCCCAGCGCCCCCTCCGGATGAGCGGCTCTCCGGACCCCCAGCCAGCAGCGACAGGGTGAGTGCCTCGCCGGGCGTGGGTGGGGAGGTGGTCGGAGGTCTGGAGGTTTCGAGAGGGACAAAGGTAGCCTGGCCGGCGCCGGGCCTCTCGCTGTCACGGCTTCTGGCGGACAAACGCTTAGTCCCTGACCCCGGGACTTGGAGTCTTAAACCCACCTTTGTTTAGATTGTCGACCCGCCAATCTAGACGGACGGGGAGCCCCAAACTCTGTCCCTGCCCACTGTTATGGCTCCAAGACTGGTGACCCTCCCCCTGCTCTGTTCTGCTCTCTTCTTCTCAGCCCCCTGCCTCCAGCCTGTTCCTGGAGCCCTTTTTCTAACGGGAATTGAGAAGCAGACTCCCTATCCCTGGCTGGATTATGGCTTTTCTGCTCTTCTGGGACCAGCGGCTGCTCTGCCCTTTGATCTCTGACCCTTCCCCCAGGGCAGAACCTGCACAAAGCTTTCCCCTCCTCCTTCTTCTCCCTCTCCCCACGCCCTTTCCTCTCCTTCCCCTTGAAGGCTAAGCATCCTTGTAGGTGTTGAAGCCCCAGAGAGGAGGTAAAGACTGGGGTTGCTCCCTGTAGTCACAGCATGCGTTGGCTTTTGCTTTCCCCAGTGGGATAGGAGCTGGGTGGGCTGTTATCAGAAGACCTGGATGGACGCTGTGCAGCTCTTGCCAAGAGAGCTGCCCACTGAGGTATGGGCCCGCTCTTTCCCTTGTCCCCCAAGTATGAAGGTAGTTGGTGCTTGGGACCTGTTGCCTAGATGAGGCTACCTAGCGGAACTCATTCCCCCTCTCCTCTTAGCCTCCCTTACTCCAGGTCCATTCTAAGAGAGGCTAAAGCCTTTCATGTCTCTGCAGGCACTAGAGCAGGAAGGAGAGCCAGCAGTCCCTGTCCCCCTGGACACCTTCCTTCCCTGAGCGCCCCTCTCCCCTTCCAGTTGGCCTTTATCCCGCCCTGAAACAGTGACAGCTGAAAACCATTCCCAGACCCCTAGATCCCTAAAGCCTAGGATGGTGACTCTGTCCTTCTTTACCTACCCCTGGGAGTTCAGCTCTGGGGCTTATTCCTCTCTCCTCTGCAGACAACGTTTGTATTTGGACAGGGAAGTTGCTGTGGATTATGCAGGTTCCAGAACTGAGGCTTTCAGCTTGAGACCGTGCAGCCCACTTTCGTGGATGAGAGAGATGTGTCAGGGTCAGAGCAGAAGCCTCAGGAATGCAAGTAATTATTCCTGTAGTCCCTGCTACTGGGCATGGCTGCCCATCCTGGGGGCAGGATCCTCAGTCTGCAGAGAAAGGTTCAAGGGCACTTCTCCCAGCCTGCGCTGCCTTCTTTCCAATGGTCTCTTGCCGTTGTGTGATGTGATGATGGTGTGGCAGTGAGGACGAGGGGAGTAACTAGGCCTTGTTCTCACCACTGATTAGTCTCCTTCTCTGTGACCGCTGACTGTTGGCACTTGGGCCTAAGCTGTCCTTGGCCCTCTTCCTCTCTCTAGTGGCTTAGAATGACCTAACAAGCTACCCACCAAGCTGTGGGTTCTTCCAGGACAAGTACCATTCCCTCCACATGTCTGTGTCTCTCAAGTGTCTGACACAATGCTTGGCATAAAGAGATGCATAAATAATGTCCTAAATGGTGACTGTCCACTACCAGGGTGGCCTGAGGGACCTTCCAACCACAGCTTCCCTTCCACATTTTCCCAGAAACCCCCAAGGAAGGGGCTGCACCCACTCAGCCATGTGGCCTCTTCTTGCTGAGGACAGCCATGCCTCACTTGGGGTCAGCCCTGAGATCTGTGGGTTGTTCTGATCTGGGAGATCAAGAGATGTCTGACTCCTTTGTCAGCCACAGAGGCAGGAATGAAACCCAGCAGGCTCTCCCAGGAGCTACACAATCTGTGCTTTCTTAGGTAGGTGTGATGTGAAGGATCCAGGATGTCATATGAGCTTGCCCAAGGGCAGGGACACTGTCCCATGGGTCCTGACCTTGGGCTTCCCACCATTCAGAGGTGCCCAGGCACTCCTTGGGCCTACTGAGTGGCATGTATGTTCAGAGTTCAAGAAAGATGAATGATGAGTTGCCCCTGCCAAGCTGGTGGTTCTGTACTGTGCCCCTGCTTTCTCCCCCTTCTCAGCTCTGCAGGGCCCCCTGGCTTGTTGCTTTAGGGTCTCCTCCTGAAGTGAGATGGAGGCTGGGATGTACCTTGGACCTGCTCACTTCTCTTCTCCTGGAGATAGTGCTAAGAACAAGGGAGAGGTCAGAACCCCGTGAGAGGGGCTGATAAAGTGAGTGTAGGTACTTTTGTGATAAGCCAGAAGAAAAGGAACACTTGAGTGTGGAGGCAGGAGAAAACTGGGACCTGAACAGAACCAAGAGGCCCAGGGGTCTCCCGAGCATTAGCCTTGTCTTCGCGCATGGCTCTGGCTGCCAGCCTTCCCTGAGGCCCTCCCATTGCTGTAATTGGCAGGGGCGCAAGAGTGGCCATCTGGGCAGGCCTGGCAGGGCAGGTGTGGGAGCAGCAGGAGCTGCACCATGCCATGGGCAGGCAGGACCTCACCAGATGGCCCCAGAAAGAGACCCTCTGGTGCTGGGCCCTTGTCCTGCCTCCAGGCTGCACTCTTGCACAGGGGCCAGAAAGCTGGGCCTTCCCTTGATTTGCTCACTTTTCTCCAACCTTTAACAGGAAAAACTGGTCTAATTTGGGAAAAGGGATAGATATAGGATGAAGCTCTGAACTGCTTGTGACCATCTGAACAGTGTGTCCTTTGCTTCTGCCATGCCAAAGATGTGTGGGTGGTGGTGGTGAGGGTGGGGGAGTGACCTGAACAATAAGACATTGAGGCTTTTATTCATAGCTCGTGGATGAGATCCTGGGGTTCTTGAACCTCTAGAAATTGTGCGTGTAGATATTTCAGATAGTTCCCATTTTTCTGGAGAAATGCCCATAGTTCTTACATAGTTCTTAGATGCAGAACTAAACACTCTGAAAAACAGACATCTTCATAGATTATATCCACATGGACCTGGATCCTCCAGGCCTTTTGGAGGAGTGAGCAGAGTAGGAAAGGTAAAGTGGGAGAGATAGTTGGAGGGTGTAAAGTTAAACAAGACATCCCCATTTTGAGGTTGGGGCTGCCAGTGCAGAACCGTTCCTGCACAGATGTTCATTGAGTGTGGTGTGTCATTAGGTGACACTGCCCTAGGCACTGAAACAAAGACCTGGTCCTTGCCTTTTTTTGAGTTTCTTTGCTTAAATTTGCCTTCTTATGGCCCCAGATAGTCTAGAGGTCTATTCGACTTACCTTACACTCATTCTCTTATGGGGGATAGAGGGAGGAGAAGGAAGGGTCCAGGTCAAGGGACCTTTGTGGACTGGTTGGACCCTTGTGCCCTCGCTACCTGTTTGCCCACTTATACTACCATTGGTCCTTGGAGGACAGCTGAGGCCTGTGGCTATTGGGGGATTGTAGGGCTGACCCATCCACTCTTCTGCCACCCTACACTACAGCACTCAGTCAGTCATCTTGTGCTGTTGGCTTGGCCATGAGTGCCTCATTCACACCTCAGCCCTGGCGTTCTGCTTGTGGGGAGCTGGAAACAGCTGGGACACTGATCATGGATGGTAGGAGTAAGCTGGTTGGGCTGAGCAAGCCCTGGCTGGGGTCCGGGGCTTGGAAGGGTACCTTCTGCACACTCCCAGTTGCCTTCCCCCTGAACCAGCATGATGCTATGAAGGAGCAAAGGTGGGGCTTACCCCTGCATGCCATGGGCCATTGGGTTCCCCCAGAATACTTCAAGTTTCTTCCTCGTCTTGGAGCTTTTTTTTGTGTGAGTGTGAACTCCTAGAGGACCCAAAAATGTGATCTTTCATCCTTATAGTACAGTGGTTGACGTTTACTGTGCACCTACCTTATGTCTGGTACCATTTTGAAATAGCTGATATGTACTAGACCAATTGATCCCTGTAACAACCCTACAAGGAAGATTCTATCCCTGGGTTTATGTGGGAGAACTGGACCATGGGAATATTGAGTCACTCTTGATGGTTTCTTGCAGAGCCGAGGTTCACAGTATCACAGCCTGACTCTGGACTGAGTGCCAGGTCTGGGCTCTCAGCACCTACCCCCAGGTGGCCAGTAGAGAGAGGTGGTGTACATGAAGCATTGCTAATGCTTCCCAGGAGGCATTGCTAATTGCTCTCTCAAGAGGGAGACTTCTAGAGAAGGAATGAGGGCTTGTTCTCTGCTGAATTCACCATTTCCTGAATGCTGGGCCACCACTGGCCACATGATCTTGAGGTGGCCACAAACACACCCAAGGGTCTTACAATTATTGCTGGCATCATTCGAATGTCTGTGATACTTAAATGTTTTGTAAGCATGGCATTGCTGTTGTAATTAGAAAAGGAAAACAACTAATTTGTTTCATGTTGAAAGAATTCCCAGGCAGATAAAATAGCAGAGGCATTCCAATAAGTAGTAATCACAGGTACAAAAACTTGAATTTCGGGAAAGGTCAGTAGTGTACCTTCTCCCAAACTGGTTGGTGGATAGGTTTGCAGTGACAAAGGGCTTCCATGGTTAAATACTTTGGAGAAAATACTGACTGGATTAAATAAAAGTAAACTGATTTCTTTGCTGCAGGACTTCTCAAAGCCAAAGTAACCTTTTTTCCCCAGTGTTGAGGATTGAACCTGGGGCTTTGAGATACTAGGAAAGTGCTCTACCCCTTTGTTAAATCTCAGTCCCTAAAGTAAAATTTAAATGTACAAGTAGAGGAGAGAAGCTGCGTTTTCCAAATTTTTGGAAAATCTGTGACAGGGCATTAAGAGTCAAGAGACCTGGATCCCAGTCTTGTCTCTCTGCTGCTGACCAGGTGTATGCCCTGGATAAATACCTAAACTCTGAGGCCTTAATATTTGAACAGAAAAGATTATCATCAGATCTAAGATTTATTGAGCACTCATTGCCTGCCAACCTTTGGGATAAGACTGTTACAAATTAATTTTCCTCTTGCCTATAATTGCCACCTTCATTTTACAGCTGAAAAAGAGGTTTCCAGACATTAAATGTATACTTAAAAATATATCTATAAACTGAAGAAGTTGAGGAGCTGGGTGTGGTAGTACATATCTATAATCCCAGCACTGGGAAGGCTGAGGCAGAAGGATCATGAGTTCACGGCCAGCCTCTGGGCTAAATAGGGAGACCCTGTCTCAAAAACCCAAAACACAAATAACAAAAGGATGTGGAGGAAACATGCAGGTTATATTAGAGTTTGGGGACCTTGTAGAGCCAGCATCCTGAGACACATGTCCCCTCTGCTCGCCCTGGACTCACACACCCCAGAAGTCCACGGGTAGAGTCAGAATCCTGTTGCCTGGCCCAACAGCAGAATGGAAGACAGAGCCACATGGTGGGCCTGCTAGCTACCCTGGGAGAGGCGTGGGCAGGGATGAGATTCAAAGTCTGACAGCTGCTCTGGGAGGAGCACTGCCCAGTTTGCACAGATGAGTAGCAGGGTCCTGGAGACAGCCTGCTGCATGGCAGGAGGAAGGGCAACACAGGACCCTCCAGCTACTTCACCTACTTGTTTGAAAATATTTCATCATTTCAGTGCATTCTGGCTATACCAGAGGGTATGCCTGACCATCAGCCCTGTGTTAGATGTCTTTCCTGTAGGCCAGTGGCTGACAGTTCTTCCCTTCTGCCCTTTAGCCAGAGGCTTTGATCCCTATTCAAATTTAGATTTTCCTGTGAGCCTGATCCTACTGCTACTACTGATCAGAGGTCAGGAATGATTAGAGATCTGGTGTCACTTCCAAGGATGGAGCCTGGGGAGGAAGCCAAAAAGGCCTCCAGTAAATGAGCGTCTACTCTGAGCACCCTGTGATGGGTGCAAGTTACAGCAGTGGGCACATCAGAGAGGGCCAAGGGACCACAAACAAAGCAACAAATTGTGGTAGGCCAGAGGTGTCAGAAGCCTACAATGACAGCTTGCCCCACTGAGCAGTTTATCCTCACAGACTTAGAAGCACTGGACAAGCAGGCCTGGGCTCTGACTGGGATCCTCTGTGCCCAGGATGGGCACCCATCCTGCCAACCTTCCCAGCTGGTGTCTCTACTGCTGATCCTGTCGTAGGCCCTGTGGGCGGCTCTCTGGGTGCCACAGCTCAGGGCTGATGACCCGGGCTTCCTGGAGCAGGGTGTGGAGCCAGCAGTGGAACAGAGGAGCCATTGAACTGCCCGCAGAGCTGCCACCTGGTTGCCCATGGGCACTGCTGGCTGGCGCTGGGGAGGCCCATGCCAGCCTGGGAGTGGTCGCAGCTCCAAGAACAAGCCCAGGACTCCAGTAAGAAGCACACTGCCTATAGCTTTTTGGCCAAGCCTGATGAGGAGGAGCGAAGGGGCTCTATGGAGTGAGAACATGGAAGAGATGTCAGGGGCTCACTGCACCCAAGCAGCTTCTAGGAACATAACCTGACTTGAAAAGACTCAGTCCGCTTTGTGACCCCACCTCACCCAGACTCATGCTTCTTGTCTCTCTTCGGAATGAACTGGGAAAAGTGCTTCCTTTTCCTGTTTTATGTTAAGGGATTTAATGTAATTACTGAGCACTTTTAGACACTGGGTACTTAGCAGTTAATATGGGTCCTGTCCTTAGGAAGCTCACAGTCTGCAGGAAGACATCCTGTAAAACAAACACCACACAAAGTGATGATAGGCCAGGACAGAGGCACCTCACAGTCCTTTCCAAAGAAAAAAGAATGAGAAAAAAGAGGAAGGATTGGTCAGTCTGGTCCAGCAAAGAGAAAGCCACTGAGTTGAGATAAGAAAAAGCATAGACCCTCCAGGGTGGGTAGGGAGAAACCAGAGGAAAGTGGAATCTCAAATCTCTAACTTTGAGCTTTTTTTCCCAAAGCACGGGAGAGCTATTGTAAGGTTTAAGGATAATGTGTCAGGTGACTCCACACATGAGTATGTGAGGCTGGGTGCTGACCGGTAGAATCACCAACAGTGGGCTGACTCCAGAGCCCCATTGGTCAAAGGGTGACCAGTGTGAGTGCCACTGGACTGGAAGGAGGGGCGGGGGATAAGTGGATTTCTTTTCTCTGCTTCCTGGAGAAAGGAAGACTAGGGGTGAATGGGCTCAAGGAGAGATAAGGTGGTAATGGAGTAGAAACATTTTTCTGGTGCCTACTGTATGCCAGGTACTTGTTGGAGCTGGAGAGACAAAAATGACAGCTAGGCTAGTGGATGGTCTGGTGGTGCTGATAGGATGAAGTGAGGTGGTGGTTATACCACCAGCAGGCAGAGATGTGAGGGAGGTGAAGGAGGAGATGGTAGGAGCCATTGGGACACACCTCAGAGACTGCTGGAGGGGCCAGCAGGGGTCCAAGGAACATGCTAAAGGAGTCCCTGAGGTGGCATTGGTTCCTTTCTCCATCTTTTCTTTCTCTTTTCTCTCCCTCCCTCCCTCCCTTCCTTGCTTTCTTTTTGCTTTGCTTTGTCTTTTTAGTTTTTTGAGACAGGGTCTCTCTGTGTAGCCCAGGCTGTCCTTAAACTTGCAGTCCTCCTGCTTCAGCCTCCCAAGCACTAGGATTAAAGGCATGCACCACGACTGGTGTTCCTTTTTCCATTTTGTCCTTACTAGGGATTCCCATTCCCAGATCCTCTCACCCAGGGCAGGGTGGTCACTTCCACCCTCTTCCTAAGCCAGTGGGATCCCACAGCCCTATTCTGGCTCAGAGCTAAAGCCTAGAGTTGGATTTAGGGAAAGGCAGGAGCAGGCCCTCCCTATTCCGCAGTCCCCAGAGCCGCCACCTGTTGCTGCCTGAAACCCAGTGGTACAGTGCTCCAGGTGCTGCCTCCACCTCCCCAGCCCCCCAGGAAAAGCCCAGGCCCCAGCTTGGAGAAAGGCTCTATTGTCCTCTCCTATGCCCCACCCTGAGCACCTTGGGCACCTCTACAGGGTGTGCAGCTTGTGGTTAGCTCTGCCTTGACTGGAAGTAGGGACAGGGGTGGCAGTGAGCCACTTGTGTGGGAGAGAAAGACAGCATGGGAAGTGAAGGACAAGGTTTTTCCTGTCCCTTGTCATCTGAGAGCCAAAGAGATTTCAGTAGGGCCTCAGCTGCCCCGAGGCATCTCTCACACAGAGCAGCTGAATGCTCACTGGTGGCAGGTAAATAGCCCTTTGCACAAAGGGCCTGGGTTCTGATTGTAATTCCACCAGTTAAACAGAATAATCTTCTGCATGTTGTTCCCTAACTGCTCCAGGCCTCCACTTTCTTCAAATGTGGATGATGATATTCACATGTGCAAATCAAATAGCTAACAAAGTGAGTTCTAAGCTTTCCTTCCTTGAGGATTAGTACTCGGTCAGCATCTGAAAGCACAGTGATAGACATGAACCATGCTAATCTCTGAGTTGCCTCACCTTTCCCTGCTTGTTCCTCAAAATCTCCCAATACCTTTGTAACCAGTTCTCTTAATTCCTTCTGTTGAACCACCTGGTATAGGCTCTTGTCCTTCTCAGATCCCAAGGCTCAGTAATCTCATCCTAGCCATGTAGCCTTGGACATGACCCTGAGGCACAAAATTAGCAGAAAGGAAAGATGTACCACCTTGGCAGCCTAGTTGGGGGCAGGTGAGGCACTTCAGAAGAAAAGCCAGGATCAGCTAGTCCCTGTGCAAGCCCAGAGCTACCCTTGGGTACTGGGTCTTAGGCAGCTTACCCAGGACTCTTGCTTCTGTGGACAGAGTCTGGGGAAAAGCAGAGCTGCCTCTCAGCTGTGGTCTGAAACCTGCTGTCTTCTCCCTCCTCCCACAGCTGGCAATCCTAGAAGACTATGCGGATCCATTTGATGTTCAGGAGACTGGTGAAGGCTCAGCAGGAGCTTCAGGAGCCCCAGAGAAGGTCACAGAGAACGATGGCTACATGGAGCCCTATGAGGCCCAAAAGATGATGGCTGGTAAGTGATGGGAGTAGGAGAAGTGTTCCCTGAGGCCTGCGCTTTGTAGAACAGACTTTGAGACCCACAAGTCTAAGGACTGATTCCTCGTCCCTAGAAAATATGGAAAAAGTCTTTGCCAGGTCCTTGGGAAGTAGGCCAATGCCTTTAAGATCATCATTTTGAAGAGGCTGCGACTTACGAGACCTGAGGCCATAGAGGCGACCACACAACCAAAAGAAGATTTTGAAATAGTCAGGAAGGGCAAGATAGAGACCTGGGCCAGGGATCAAAGGTCCCCAAAAGAGAATCACTAGCTTTGAGGAGGGTGATGAGTTTGAAACAACATTATGTCAAAGCAAAACATATTTATGGCAATTGGAAACAGAACCAGAAGTGTAGATACAGTAGGTGCCATGGGTCTGAGCAAGTAGCTCAGAGTTAAGTAGCTCAGCAGTGGGCCTTTGCATGGGAGCAGGCCATTCACTGCATAAAGGAAAAAGACCAAGAATTGTTCTGTCTCTCAAGAAGTCAGAGCTCAGAAAGAGCATTCACTGAGCTGGGCGCCCTCTTTGGTCAGAGGGATGTGGGCCATGAATGCCCCAGAATTACTTGTGAAAATTTGAGTGCACACTTTACAGGAGAGTAGCTCCAGGGCTTTTATCAGATATGCTTTGGAGTCAGTAATCCCAAAAAGAGAATGACTAGCTTTGGAGAAGGTGGTGAGTTTGAAACAATGTGATGGTGAAAGTGAAATGTCTTTATGGTCATGGGAATGTGACTAGAAGTGTAGATGCAGTGGGTGTGGTGAGACTGGCCAAGTAGTCCAAGAGTTGGTATAGGACAAATGAATAAAACCTGGGTTTGGGGAAGCAGGTTAAGATCAGGGGGAAAAAGGCAAGTTGGGAGAGATTAGAGAAAAGACAGTCCATGAAATTGACTTGTCAAAGGGGAAAGTTTCAAGAAGGCAGTGGTCAGCAACAAAGGATTTCCTGATTGTGAAATTATATCACTGGAACATAAGTGGAAATGAATAAACAAATGTAGGTAGGCAACAAGGAGGAGATGGACTAGGTGAAGATCGTGCCTCACTTTCCTTAATGTGCCAACTTCAGCTTCCCAGCTCTTGCTGGCCATCAAAGTCTTTCACTTTGGCACTTGTCCGCCTTTCTTGGGCCCACCCTATGCTTTTGGAGCCCAGGAAGGGTGAAAATTCCAGTGCACATTTATTTAGGGAGTAGCTTGCTCCATGACTTTTATCCATCCTGGTGAGGGACCCAGGATGTGTGGCTCCTCTGAAGGAGACCTGGCTCATGGCAAAAGAATACTGCCAGAGGTGGGGGCTAGGTTACTAGAGCCCAGCTTTCACCTCTCCCTTTCTTGCCTGGCAGAGATCCGAGGCTCCAAGGAGACGGCAGCTCAGCCCTTGCCCCTGTATGACACACCCTATGAACCAGAGGAAGAGGGAGCCACTCCAGAAGGTGAGGGGGCCCTCTGGCCCCGGGAGTCCCGCCTGCCTGAGGATGATGAGAGGCCCCCAGAGGAGTATGACCAGCCCTGGGAGTGGAAGAAGGAGCGGATTTCCAAAGCCTTTGCAGGTGAATCGGGGTGGAGAATAGGACTCCAGGAACCCGAGGAGGTCCCAGGTTGGAACTCCAGGGCAGGGTAGTAAGTTCTGTACCATCGAGAGTGGGGTCTTAGGCAGTGTGGACACAATACTATGCACATAGCCAGGGAGGTGTGCACAGGGGGAGGGGGAGGCTTTTCTCTGCATCGTCACCTCTCAGAGGCCAAGAAGCTTGGGCTGCTTCCATCTTGGGGGGTGTATTTAAAAATAAAGAAATTTCAATACAAAATTATGAAACTTGTGGCATATGTTAAATACATTTAACAAAGGAGAGTATTCAGCACTTCAAACAATGAAAATAGCTGTTCATATAACCTGAATTCTAGGGCTCCCAGTGGTAGGCCCTGCTAGACCAGAGGTTTCTGGCCCCAGGGGTGTTTCTGAGCTGTAAAGGGAGGCTATGAGCAGTCCCTGATTGCTGGATGAAGATCAGGTTTCTCCTGTCCTAACCACACCACATCTATCCCAGGCTCAAGTCCACCACAGAAAAGTGCATGTTAGCTGTCTGAGGTGGGTGGAGCAAGAGCCTGGATTTGGGACAGGGCCTTCTTTCCTGAACCCAAGGGCTTAAGTGCCATTAGACTTCATTCCCACTTCTGCGTGCCTCGCCCCTTCTTAGACAGAGGGCTGATCTGCAGCTGACACAGTCTCCACTCTGCCCTCTCCACCTTGGCAGTCAGACTGGGAAACCACAGTTTTCCCATTTGCTTCCTATAACGCACACACTCGAGGATGGGCCGTTTATCTCCAGCAGTCTCCTTGGAGAATCAATACTGTTTGGATTGCTTAATGGGAAAATCTATGCTCATCATTAGGAAGCCTGGTTAGCAGTCCTGAGACCACCGGTGACATCACTTTTCTCAGGATCGGGGGAGGATTCAATTTCAAAACTAACTTCCCCCAAGCCTATGCATTCCTGACAACCTGAGGTTAAGCTGTCCCATTCTCACTGCTCATGAGTTCCCAGGCTGGAAGGAAGAGAAGGAGAAAGAGAAGCAAGGCTAGGGTTGCCAGGAGGCTGTGGGGACCTGGGTATGGTTCCTGGAGGTGTGGGTAGCTCCTAATCCCCCTTTTCTGGTCCCTGGATGCTTGTGAGAAGTCAAAGGAAGGGGACCCACAGGGTTGGCAAAGCAAGATTCTATGCCCTGCTGTTTGCCAGCCAAGCCTCCCACCTTCTGACCCAGCCAGCCTGGTGTGGTCAATGTGGGCTGTGCTCAGCCCTCCCAAAAGTCCTGTTTCCTCCCTAGAAAGCTACCCTTGCCTCTGCTTCTACCCTTCCTCGTTTCTAGGCTGTTCTGTGTCCTGGCTCTGGGTTTTGGTGTCTCAACCTCTGCCTTTCTCCATCTATTCCTGTCACTATCTGTCTCTCTTCTCCCTTTGCTATTGGCTCCAGTTGACATAAAGGTCATCAAAGACCTACCTTGGCCTCCACCGGTGGGACAGCTGGACAGCAGCCCTTCCCTGCCTGACGGGGACAGGGACATCTCCGGTCCAGCCTCACCTCTCCCCGAGCCCAGCCTGGAGGACAGCAGCGGTGGGTCCTGGGGCTTCTGACCAGCATGACATGTCCTTACTCCGAGGCCCTGTGGGCTTGGGTTGGCAGTTGGGGAGGGTAACTCTGAAGGGAGGCCCATTCTTGGTATGTCCCCACCATGCCACAAAAATGTGTTATTTGGGGAGGGGGGGGTTGTTTTTGGTTTTTTTTGGTGATACCAGGGTTTGAACTCAAGGCCTTGCACTTGCTAGGCAAGTGCTCTATCACTTTAGCCATGCCTGCAGCCCCCAAACCCACTGTTTTAAATTCACTTCTTCCTTGGATAGATCTTTGCCTGACAATGCAGGTGCCACTCCTGAGGTGTGAAAGTGTTTGCTAGCACAGGAGAGGGTCTGAGTCTGGCATCTGGTGACCCAAGGACAGAAAGGCTTGGAAGTGTTGCAGGGAGGTAGAGTCCAGGAAGGAAAAAAGAAGGCATCAAATTCTTCCTCTCTATTTAGTCTTGCCAGAATTGGCACCCAAGGCTGGGGGGCATTTGTGCCTGAGAATTTCACTTTGTAAATGTGGGATGAAGGACAGTGTCACCTGTGGTGTGCGCCTGTGGCAGGTGACCCCTCTGGAGGTCAGCCCTCACTCGCGCACGCTTAGCTGTCAGGGTGCCCTGGTCTGGGAGGGCAGAGCCACTTCCCATGGGCTTCGAGTGTGGGGGAGGGGAGCCAGTGGGCAGCGACCTTGGATGGGGAGGGTGAGCTGTCTGGCGGCTTTGGGCAGGATTAGCCTGTCATGATGGCACCAAGGGGAATCAGATAATTGTTCTCAGATCAATAAGTCATTTCTACGGAATGGCTTGGCAGGGTGATTTGGAGAACGGTAATGAACTCTGAGGAGGAGAAAGAAACAATATTATCAACGCTGAAGCCACCCTGAGGGGGATGGGAGAGGGAAGGCAGTCAGCTGCTCCTGAGGGAGAAGCTTAAGTGGTTTCTAGTGTTCTCTCCCCTCACAGAGGGGCTCTGTGTGGCACCAGAGGCTGAGCCCTTCCCAACCCGCACCCCACCAGAGATGGGCCCAGCATTACCTCCCTAGAGCCTGTCAGGCCCCTGAGTGACCACTGCCCTCCCAGAACGTGCCTTTGCCCCCTTTGGGGCTTGGAGGAAATAGGGTAGGGTACTGGCTATTCAGTAGGGCTCTATCTCTAGGATCCTCAGAGTCCATGACTGGTATGTTCCCTACAGCCCAGTTTGAAGGACCGGAGAAGAGTTGCCTGTCACCTGGCCGGGAGGAGAAGGGGCGGCTACCCCCCCGACTTGCTGCAGGGAACCCCAAGTCAGCCAAGCCCCTAGGCGTGGAGCCCAGCAGTCCCCTGGGGGAGTGGACAGACCCAGCACTGCCGCTGGAAAACCAGGTGTGAGTGTCTGTGTCCAGCTGGGGACTCCCTCTCCTCTCCTTCCCTCCTGGCACTGGCTTCCCTGCAGGGAACACCCATAAAGGGCGGGCCTGGACGGCGAGGGACCCAGCAGAGATGCCCCCCTTCCTCTCTCTCACCCTCAGCTGGTACCACGGGGCCATCAGCAGAACAGACGCCGAGAACTTACTCCGGCTGTGCAAAGAGGCCAGCTACCTGGTGCGCAACAGCGAGACCAGCAAGAATGACTTCTCCCTCTCCCTCAAGTGAGTGGGGATAGCCATGGGTAGAGGGGACAGCCAGCAGAGCAGGAGGAGATTCCAGTGTTCCTATCATAGCCAGCCAAGCTTGGGAGTGCCCCATACCCTATGAATGACTGCTGACTGCACCCCAGGTATTGGGAATCCTGAGATATCTTGAGACGCAGCCCCTGCCCTCAGGAGGAGGTAGTGGAGCTCCTCTCCAATTTGGGAGGGTTCTGTCACTAGCTGTGACCTGGGGCCCCTTTACCTGTCTAGATCTCCATTTCCTTACAAGAAAATGGAATGATAATATCTACCTTCTAAGGAAGTATTAAATGAAATTATAACACCATGCCAAGTACTTAATAAATTATCACCATCATCGTTAATGGAAGCCTAAGGTGTTCTAGAAGCACAGATGAGGAGACACGAGTTTTGCCTGAGGGAATCTACAGGATAAGATGGGGGGCTGGGACCTGGCAGGAGAGTAGGGTGATGAACACAGAGCCACTCCTCTTTACTCTGAGGAACTGTGTGTGTGTGTGTGTGTGTGTGTGTGTGTGTGTGTGTAGAGAATTCGTCTGAGCTTATAGGATCCTAGAAAATGTGACCAAGACAGGGCCCTCCCTTACCATAAGCCTTGCACAGCCCAGCCTCTGCTTCCCAGGCTTCCCTGGCAGGATGGCCAGCCCTCCTCTTGGCAACCAAGAATTTTGCCTGGTAGAGCCCACACCCCTCATGAGGCAGCTAGTTGGGGTGGAGTAGCCATTTACCTCCCCCTATCACCACTGGGACATCTGTACCACTTCCTACCACATTCTCTGGGGACTTTAGATACTGATATGACTCTCCCCACACCACACACCCCACACACACTTCAAACAAATCCTGTGGAGATGTGAGACTTCTGAACCTGATACATTTGGGGGATGATGATTCAACTTTTTCATAATGAAAGAGAACAACAAAAGCACCAAACTATGTTTAGGTAACCTGAGTTGTATTCTTGGGTTTAATAAAACTAGCTTTTTGACCCTATGGCAAATCACTTCTCTGGACCTTAGTTTTTGGGTTTTGGGGTTTTTGTTTGTTTTTGCAGTACTGGGGCTTGAAGTCAGGTCTACACATTGAGCTACTCCACCAGCCCTTTTTTGTGATGGGTTTTTTGGAGATAGGGTCTCATGAACTATTTGCCTGGGCTGGCTTCGAACTGAGATCCTCCTGACCTCTGCCTCCTGCATAGCTAGGATTCAGCATGAGCTTGGCGCCTGGCTGGACCTCAGTTTTTCCCTTTGCAAAATGAGTTGATCTCTTTTAGATATCTTCCAGCTCTCATATTCTGGGAGTGTGTGAATTATAAAATCAAAGGAGCATTTCAGAGAAATTCAGTTGTCAAAAATTTGGTTTATATAACTTTAGGTGGTGTATTGTTTTAAAAGTTATATTAAAATTCATGGAGTATTCCAAGCAGCATATATACCATGTCCAAATCAACTACTGCCCTGGCAGATAGATCTTACACAAAATAGATTCAGGGAGGTCTGCAACTAGTTTAAAGTCACCAGCCAAGAAAGTCCACAATCCAGACATGGTTGTATGTGCTTAGAGCCTTAGGTATTGAGGAGGCTGAGGAAGATCCCTTAAGCCCAGGAGTTCAAGGCCAGCCTGAGCAACAGACCGAGACCCTGTCTCAGTTAAAAAAATATTATACACACACACACACACACACACACATGTATGTAAAACACGTGTGTCCCCAAATCAGGATTTGGCCCCAGTTCAGTCTGACTCGAAGAACCACACTGTTCATTTGCAGAGCTCCACTTCTCATCAGGTGCCACACCTGTGATCTGGATTGTCCGGTGCTAGGGGAAACGCCCGGGGTCTGGTTCCCTGGAGTGGAATTGAGTGGGCCCTGTTTTTAGCCTGGGGAGTAAAAAGCGAGGCAGGCTTGGATGTGTGCTCCAGCCCTGGTTGATCTGGCTCCGCCAGCATCTGTCTGCCAGGGCCTCGTTTGCATATAAATGGCTTCTCTGAAATACAATTATGGTTTCTCTTCTCTCTCTAATGGAAGGGCTTTCACTGGTAATTAAACAGCTTCCTCAAAAAGCCTTACCAGGCCTGGCCCTGTGGCCCGGCTGGCCCCACCCAGCCCCCTAAGGGTCTGGCAAGGACCTTGCTGTTTTGTAGTGGACACTTGGGATGAATCCCAAGAGGTTGAAAAGCACAGCCACCCCCATTTCAGGAGCTTGGTTATGCTAATGGAAGCCCACTATCTGGCCACTTGTTGCCCTTCCTGTACAAGATCTATCCCTTGAGGAGAAAACGTGCAGTTTTCTAGAGAGGCAGTTCCTCCAAGTGGGATGTGGGGAAGAGGTCCTTCCCAAACTGGGAGAAGATAAGGGAGGTCATGGCCGGCCCACACTGCTTCCCACAGCCTTGGGCCTGGGCCTGGCATGGGCACTTAGGAGAGGGTGGCCACTCACTGCTTCCCCTCTCCACTGCCCACAGGGGCTGCCCATTGGCTTTGGGCCCTTGACTCCTTTCCCCAAGGGCCTTTATGGTCACTGTCAGCCCCAGGCATTATCTCAGACTTACAGAAGGGCCCCACACCCTGACACACACCCAGTCTCCTCCAAGCAGGCTGCTAGGCTCCAGGCCATGGGGAGGCATTCTGGAATTGGGGGCCTGTTTTCTGCTTTCCCTTTTTTCAGTCTCCTCACTCTGCCTGATTTCTCACTTGTGGGCCTAGTAAAGTAAGTCCAGGCGCAGCCTTTGTCCCAGGCAGGGGAGGCAAGGGAAGAAATTTGCCAGTCTCATCCCTCAAGGGTGGGACGGGGCTTATGATGGAGAGAAGGACTGGTCCTGCTTCCCACACAGGCCTCTAAGCCCTGTCCTTGTCCTCGAGTGGGCTTGGGCCAGCAGCAGACAAGTCAGGCTTCAGGGCTTTCCACAGACATTCCTTCCCTCTTGCATGTGTGTGAGTTTCCAACATGGGACCTGACAAAGCCTGTGATAGTTTGGATCAATGTTCTTGCCTCACCCCCTCCTTTTTTCTAAGGGGACAGGGACTGGACATTTAGGTGCTGGCCAGAGCTCTGTACCGTGGGTCCCTGTCTGGAGGGCAGGGACAGCCCTAATGCTGGTTTCCTGGGCCATACAGGGAGATGGGAGAGGCGGTGGAGCATGTGTCCCCCCCCCTCCCCTGCCGAGGAACGGAACAGAGCGCGACAGCCTCAGAATGATGTCATTCCAGGCCAGAGGAATGGATGGATGAGCTGAGAGGGCTTGGCCCAAGGCCCAGATAGCAAGAGGGTGAAGGGATGTCCCCATGAGGCAGAGCTGTGTGTTCCCAGGTTTGGGGAAGGGGATTCCACATTTACTTGCACCCCTGGTCTTTGCAAAGGAGAGCCCCACTCAAGACTCTCCTGCCAAAGGGATCTGTAGCTTCACAGGAGTCCCCCACAGGTATCCTGCTCTGTAGTTCACGAAGGGGCTGGTAAACTGGCCCTGACCACACAGGCTGAAGGACTGGGGGCTTTGCTTCCAGGGTTGGGGGTGCTGGTCAGGCCCCTTTCCACCTGCATACACCCCGTACACTCACTATAAACACATTCTCTTGGCACACCCAGTGTCCTCAACCACAAAGCCAATGCCTCATGCTACCTACTCACCACACACCACTCCTATTCATTTCCCACCCCCAGCTGGCTTTGAAACCACCATGTTTGCTGTGGGGGTGGGGAGGGTTACTGGATGGCCAGATAGGAGCTGAGGAGAGCCCCCACTCACCAGGGTCTCTTCCTCTTCCCAGGAGCAGCCAGGGCTTCATGCACATGAAGCTGTCCCGGACCAAGGAACACAAGTACGTGCTGGGCCAGAACAGCCCGCCCTTCAGCAGCGTTCCTGAAATCGTGCACCACTATGCCAGCCGCAAGCTGCCCATTAAGGGGGCCGAACACATGTCCCTGCTGTATCCCGTGGCCATTCGGACTCTGTAGTTGTGAGGCCAGGGCACCATGACAGACCTGAACGGAGTGAGCCCTGTCACCTGGCTGAGGGTTGTGGTTCCTGCCAGGGATGTGATCTCGCAAACCTTTCTTCCGCTTGCCCTGGGACCTAGTAGATGGTGGAGACTCCGTAATTTATTCTAAAGGGGAAGGGCTTCCGGGGCCTTGGAGTTAGGGAATGTCTGGAGCTGGGGATAGAGGAAACCCTGGAGAGAGAGGATAACCCCAGGAGGCTGTAAAGCCGCTGGTCTCCTGGGGAGTTTAGGATTGGCAGCTCCAGTTCCTTTCCGACCCTAGGGAAGAGGTGGTGCCGTCCTTCACCACCACTCGACCTACCGGGTCAATGCTGGGCGAAGCGGGACGCCCCTACCATCTCTCCTCCTCCATTCCGCCTGTAAACCACTGGAGAGCTCCGCCCAGAGTCTGGTGCGGGGCTTGGGGAAGATAGACCCCCCCCCCCCGTCTCCCTTGGGATGGAGACGGCCCTGGGGGTGGGGAGAAAAGGGATCAGGCTCAGGGAACTTGTGCGGTCCCCAGGCCGCCCCGGCTCCCGGCCAGAGGCAATAAATAAACCCGATTTTGCCTGGCACTGCGCGTCCGCCTTGGGCGCCGCCCCCGGGTCGACCGGGTTGGGAGCGGGAAGCGAGCACAGATTCTGTTTATGAATCAGTTCCTCAGCAGACCAAGGCCGGCTGTGAAAAGCACTTTCGAAGCAGCAAGTTCCTTTCTTTGACGATATGTCAAAACATGCCCCGCCCGGGCTGGGAACACCCGGGACCCGGCGGCCACGCGGCGCCCCTCCTCGCCGCACCGCCAAGCGCGGATTCCCAAGAGCGCGTCCAATTTCCTGCCAACAGCCATTTGTCTGGGAGGAGGGGAGACGCGGAGAGACAAAGAGGCAGCGCGCCAGGCGGGAGGGAGTGGGCGGCCCTGCCACGCGGAGGACGCGCGCCTGCAGAGGCCGGAAGACGGCGGGGTGGATGCGGGGTCTTCCATCCTTTTCCACGGAAAGCCTGGTGGGGCACGACTCCCTCAGCTCCCGGTTGAAGGACTGGCCCCCTGGAGACCCGCACCCTGCAGATCCTGGCTCTAAGCTCCTTCCCTTACTTAGCTCAGGGCTGGCCGTGCGCGCCCCCTGGTGGTCGCGCCTCTAACCATCCGCCCAGGGCGCAAGGCCACCCACACCCTTCAGCAGCCCTGGCGACGCGCCTGCCGGTGTTCGAACCTGGAGCCCGCTGACGCCTATGGACCCAGTCCCCAGGAATACCTACTAGGTTGTCAGGCAGAACAAGCTGCTGGAGACGCCCAGGCCCGTCTCCTCCATCGACAAAATGACCAGAAACTCCCCGGTCGTGCCAAACACCTCCAGACAGCTTCCCTACAAAAGCCCATGTGTGGTGTGAATCTCAGGATTTGGGAGTTTCTAATCTAATTGCTATTTTCTTGGAATTAAGGAGAAGTGATCTAACATAGGAATTCCGTGGGGGGGACAATAGAAAAGATCACTTGAAATTAGGCAGTGTTTCAGAAATTCCCTCAGAGACTCACCCTATCTTTAAGTGACTGGAGAGCATCCAGCCATTTTGCAGATGAGAAAATAAGACTAAAGAAGCTGATTATTGGTTTATCTGTCTCCTCTCTGTCATCTAGAAGATCCATGTGAGCACAGGTGCCCAACCCACCCATTACTCAGAGTTGGGTGTAGCTGAGGTTCTGTGGCTCCCTGTAGGCTCTTGCTATGTCCTATCCCCCTTTTTTTTTTTTTTTTTTTTTGCAGTACTAGGGTTTGAACTCAGGGCCTTGTGCTTGCACCACTTGAGCCACTCTAGCCCTATCCCATTCTCTCTTCTCTGCCCAGCCCACCGCTGTCTCTCTGCCCCTCCTGATCAGTCTCTAGAGGCCTCAGAGTAGCTGCCCAGAGGGGCCCTCTGTCAGGAAGAGCACTTCTGGGCAAGGAAGGGTCTCCAGTTGGGGCACTTGTCCTTAGGCAGGTTCCTTGATTCAGTGAATGCCAGCAAGCTTAAAGAGATGTTCGGACCAGTCTGGCAAGCCGACTGGGTGAGTAGTTTCCTTTCCTTGTGCCTCACCCTGTCCTGAAGCAGAAAAGAAGAAATCCCAAAGGTGAAAACGTGATTTATTTGTAAAAGAGACGATAGAAGAAGGCTGCAAGGCACTGCATTAGCTAGGTGTTGGGCCAGGGTCTGACTATAATACATGATTAAAAACTTGGAAGAGAAAATCAGTTGTGCAAGTTAGGTTAGACTGGAGCTCTGATGGAGGTTCTGTAAGTTGTTTGCTATGGGTCCAGCCTCTGCCCTCTCCAAAGCATTTGCCAGCCCTTTTGAAAGTGGGGTGCCTAGGAGAGGGGAAGGTGTGGGGGTGGGGAGAGTTTTAAGATGCCAGCATCTGCCCCTCCATTTTATCCTTCGTCCTAGACACACACACACACACACACACATTAGCTTGTCTAATGAGTTTTTTTTTTTTCCCTTAGCCTGGAAGAAGAGACTTCACTTTGCCCCAAACCAATAGCTCTCCTACTTCCCAACCTGTTGTTCCTAGACAGTGCCCGCCCTCCCATCCCCACTTCTGCAGGCTGAGACTCATTCTGGGCCTAGAGATCCCTGAGCCCATACATGATGTCCGACAATGGCCACCTGGACCAAGTTGAGAGGTGGAAAAGGGGAAAGGGAAGCAGCCAGATAGGAAACACAGAGATATGGTGCAGTGGGCCCAAACCTCTGTTCTGATGGCCAATGGGCAAAGTCACTAGGCAGGGGGTCTAGAAGTTCTCATAATGGTGAGAGAAATGAGTCCTGTCCTGCCTGTTGATAAGCTGACAGGCCTTTTCCACATTCTTGGTCATGCCAGGAGGACCACAGCTAAATACCCCAATCTTCCGGACCTGTTACAGGAAGAAAAGAATGAAGACTAGCACATTGTTCATTAGCAGAGTCAACCCCATGTTCAGAGGGAAATCTAGGTTCATGTTCAAGGTGCAAAGATCAGTTAGAGCCTCTCCAGTGTTCCTGATGAAGGTCTGCTTTGTGCTATACATGGTGAGGACTGGTTCAGTGCTTATAAGTCTAGTTCAATTCTGGAAGTGCTGGATCAGTGTTTCTAATAGGGACCAGCTTAATCAATGTTCAAGTTGAGAGACAGCTCCCTATTTATGAGAGCAGTGGCCACCCCAATGTTCATGGTGAAAATTAGCTCAGTGTCCAGGGTTAGGGCTGGCTCGGTATTAAGTGAGGGTATCCCTGAGTTTATGTCAAAGACTGGTTCGATTACTGAGCTCTTCCTTTTAGACAATGAATCTTGGCTCCAGAGTTGGCAAATTCCTGTTGCCTGCCTCCTCCCTTAGCACCTCAGGGTGACCCCCTGTCTATCCTTTTCCATTCTGTTACCCCTACCAATCTTCCAGGTGAAGGATTCCCAGCAGCAGCCAATTCTTCCCCTGATGGAGCAGGTTTGGGACCTTTGCTCAGACCCAAGATGATAAAGATGAAGAGATGGGGGTAGACCTACCTGTGGGTGGACCTCCTGCAGGGAGTTGAAGAAGGGCTCGAAGGGGGGGCGGCCAAAGTGGGTGACAGAGCGCAGGCCAGTGAACAGACTCCGGTTCAGTACCTTCTGGAAGTGCCGCTCACAGATGTACTGAAGAGGGGGAGATGGAGAAAAGTCACAGCCAGGCACTACCAGGGTCAACTCCTAGTTCGTAACAGTGCCCACCTGTTCTGCCTGGCTGGCTCTGACCTACCAGCATGGTAGTCCTGAGATCAAACTTCTCAGCCAGCTGTGTGATATAGATGTGCACAGACACCAGGTCCTGGCAGTCATTCTCCTCCACCTCCCGGATGATGTCAGCCAGCCACTCGAACTGCCGCTGGGTCCTCGTCACCCAGATGAAGTAGATCTGGGGACACATGCCAGAGCTCAGGACCAGCACAGCTCAGGCATGCTATATCCCAGGGATCTCCACATAGAACTCTCCTGACCTCAGTCAGATTGTGCTTATCCTCAGACAGCCTGGGAGATGAGTTCAGGCCACAGGGTCAGGCTCTGAGGCCAAAAATGGGTTGCCCCAGGGCATGGAGAGGTGGAAATCAGAAGCCGCCTGAGGTCAGGCAAAAGCTCCCTCCCTCTCCCCTTATGACTTAGAGCTGAAGGTCTATTGGATGGGAAACAGCTTTCTCAGCCCAAGCCCATCCTAACACCCCAGTGTCAGAAGGCTGCCCGTGGAGGGACTGCACAGAGGGAGTGGGCTGGGGGTCATTTCACAGAGCAACCTCAGGCGAGCCCCAACTGCCTGATCCAGAGGCTGGGAATGACCTCAAAGGGAGACCAGGAGGAGGGAGTTCCCTGGGGCCCGGGAGTCAACTCCAGCTTCTGAGGGGGAGAAGTAGGGCTCTGTGGATTAAGAAGCAGAAGCACAGCCGGCACCAACAGAGGAGGGGAAGGGAGCTGTCACTCTCTGAGTGCTGACAGCATAAGGGCTGGGCATGCTGCATTCCTGCGCCCCTGACTCATTTGCCAGGCTCAAGAGAGACAAGCTGGGACCTGCCACTGGGTCCAGGCTGGAGTGAAGGGGACCTGTGTAGGGTGGGGGGACTGAAGGCCCAGGTTGTGTTCCTGAAGCAGCCCAACCCACCAGCCCTGCCTTGCCATCTGTCCTCCTCTTCCTTCTGAGACTTAAGCCAGTTTCACTTGTGCCCCACCCTAAACATGCCCTTCCCTCTCCCAGGCAGCAGTGCTCCCATGGCTGGGCATGTAAGAGGGAATGTTTTGTGTTTGATTTTGCTTTTAACCTCCCTATAACCCTACCTGGAGGGACTCCCAGAAGCAAATCCTATGTGGAACACCTCATAACGAAGGGAAAGAGCCCTTGGAAGCCAGGCGGTAGACTGTAGGCATCAGCAAACCAATTCTGTCCTTCAGAGTCTGGGGATATCTTGACACCTCCCCATCAACCACCCACTTCCAGGTCTCAGGCCAACTTGTCCTTGCCCACATTTTTTGGGGGAAGAGATCAAGAAGAGAGAAACATGGGCACAGTGATGGGGGGGACTGTGGGCTTGTAGGAGGGGTGAACATTCACCTTCTTACAGAGCAGTTGGCAGCTGACCGATGACTTGAAAACCAGGTCTTTGAGGATAGAGGCAAAGGGAGTGACCCCAATGCCCCCTCCCACCAGCACCGACACCTCAAATTTATGCCATTCCTGGTGACCTTCTCCAAATGGTCCATCGAGGTACAGCTGAAGGTAGGGCAGTGGGTTTGAGTTCAGCATGGCTTCTACCATAGTTCTGAAGCCAGAAATGGTAGGCAGGAAAAGGCAGATAGGTATATGGAGTGAGCGGGGAGAACAGAGGAGATGGCTTCTGATATTATCTGGAATAGCCAATCTCTGGATTGGGGGAGGGGAGGAACACAGTGGAGAGCCTGATGATACTTAGAAGATGTGGGAGAACATAGCACATCTGGCCTGGGTCTGGGTACCTTTGGGTATCTGGCACAGCTGTCACCCGTTGGAGGTGAGTAGATCTCCCTGAGTCGTGTGGTCCAGGGCCCCGCTGCCCGGA